GAAAAACCAAAAATTGATGAATTCAATGATCTTGGGGGAGTGATTTGAAAGTATTAGAAATGGAAAGGTAAAGATCAGAGAACTAGAAACGAAATGTTTTGAACGATCACATGGGAATGTTGGAAATTGAATGAAAGTCAGAGTATCATAGTGGGAAATAGTATAATTGCTAACTGTTTGCAAACAACATAGGCTTCTTTCAGTTTGCTTTCTCGAAAAGTGATCCTATGATAAACCATTTGATGATGCTAAAGGAGGGAGCAACTTGAAGATTTTCTAAAATATGATCAAAGAAGAAGAAAGTATTATTAAATGAAATTTATTCTGATATACAGTTAAAGTAGAAAGTTCTTTGATTTATTGCTCATCCTCAGATTCGAATGTCATTGGCTCGAATGGTCGTCCTTTTCCTCCTTCAGGTCGTCCTCTTCCTCCTTCTGGTCGTCCTCCTCTTGGTGGGCGTTGGGGTCTGACCAAAGCTTCCAAAGCACGAGCAGCCTACAATATTGATGAGTTAAAGATATAAATGTTAAAGAAGTTGTTGTACCTGTGGGTTTTCGTCTCTGAAGGTCTTCAAAGCTTCTCCTTGTTGCCTGCGGGTCTGGTTTTCATTGCTAAGGATTGCGGTGATTTCTTGGAGCTTGGTTGGGAGGGTCTCAACAACTTCGGTAGCGTTTCTTTGGATTTCCTCGATCTTTGCATTCATCTTTTGCTCGAAATCGTTGACTTCTTGAGTCAAACCGTAAGTTTGAGCCCAGGTTTGGATTTCGGATTTCTGTTCAGCAATGGTGATGTTGTCGTTTCTGAGAATAACTATGAGCGCCTGTTTTGCTTCTGTGGTAGCGTTTTGGGCGAAGGGTGGGAGATGTTCTCTTGGTCCACCATGGTGTCCTCCTGGTCCAAAACGGTTTATTCCTGGTCCACCACGGTTTCCTCCAGGTCCAGCCATAACAAGACCGGCCATAACAACAACAGCGACAATAGTTGACTTGTACAGCATTTTCTGCAGATGTATTGTGAAAAGTTGAATTCGAAAAGTCTTGAGATGTTGGGAACAAGGTTGGAAGAGAAAGTAATCAAAGAATGAAAACTGTAAATTTGAAGTATTTTTTCGACGTTTTTATAGTTTCCAACTGATCGAGATCTTTCCCCCACCATCGAGCTCCTCCCATTTA